ATATATATATATATATATATACAACGTTCTGTCTGGTTCTCGAATCCGATTGGCTTATAGCCGTGATATATTTAAGTAATATCAGCACCCGTACAGCCTCTTTACCCTTTGTCAGAGTTGGGCTAGCTACTTGAAAAATGTAGTGAGCTAAGCTATGAGCTACTCTACAAAAAAATGTAGCTTAACTACACTAAAAGCTATCCCCTGGGAAATGTAGCAAGCTAAGCTAAAAGCTACAAGGCAAAAGTAGCTTAGCTACATCCAAGCTATTTTTGCAAGTTTTATTTTGAAATTGAAGCAAATTAAATCCAAGTCAATCATATCTTAGTGATCAATAAGGGACTCCCACCAGTAAATATACAGCCATATTGCACTGCTACTTGTGTGATGTTGCTCATATATATATTTATTAGAATTTATTTATATTCGTTTTTTAGCTCCAAATTCAATCTGACTCCAATTTAAATGATCCTAAAATTTAGATTGTATTTCTAATTGTAAGAACGGATCACATTTATCATTTATGATTTAATTTAGAGTTTTGATATTTTCTGGGGTCCGATATTCTAAATTGTACGTTCATTAGATAGCTACGTCGCTCAGAGTTCCACACACCGGGTTTGCGTTTCTTCTCACGGAAAATATGTCGGCACTCTGAAAATAGTCAGAGGATGCAGGATTAACTAATATTTAGGTTGGTTGCATAAACGCTCACCTAATTCCCTAAATTAACAGATTTTAGCCAAGCCCATACAACTTGCTACTTCCAGTGGTCAAATGACTAAAAGGTCTACATGTTATCGGCACGCTATGGCTACGAATAATCAAATGTGCCAATTAATCAATTCAATTTATGCCATACTATAAAGGTAACGAGACTCAGCATAATCTACTGGATACAATGAATTCGCAAAACTCCAGAATTATTCAAAACTTAACATTTTATTTGTCAGGTAAAATTGTATTCTGCCAATTACATAATAAATCATCAAGAAGCCAATTCAGAGATGAGACTAACAATATAACATCCATTAATCAAAGATAAATCAAAGAGTTAGAGATGCATACCTGACCAGAGAAGTACATTGCAGCATAAGTCTCAGAGATACTGCAATGGGGTGTCTTTTTACAAGATCTTCCCCTGTCCTATAGCTCATCTTACCTTATATACTCAAGTCGAAAACAAACAGCCATAATTTCAAGACAATAGAAGTGTCACAGAAACCCTGGCCTGGTAAATTTGAGGACTCAACCATCTCTGAGGAGGGAGAGCATCTTATCAAGATCTTAAAGAAGTCATAAACCAAATCAACATATACCAGTGAAATATTACTGTAAAATTAAGACCACTTTACCAATCACACAGAGACATTAAAAATTATACCAAACATGAATAAAGTGCTGCAAGATACACCATATTAAAACCTTGAACATGTTATGTGAAATGTGCTCTAATCAGAAGGTAACCTAAGGGTCAAGAAGGGGGCTTGAGGTGAAAAGAGAAGGGTGACTTTCTCGCATTACCCCCTGCTGTAGTGTAGCTCTGTTTCTCCAGCCTGTGTTTGCATTGTCAACAGTGATTTGAATAGAACAGTTGAACAGCTGGTTTCTTCATCACTTCTCTTGTCTAATGAAATTCCATAACAGTTTTCAGGGTCTGATATTTTGGATCCTTACACAACTGTAATGATCTTTCAGTCATATTCATCTAGAAAATGCATTAAGACATTTAGAAAACATTGTATTTTGCATTAAATTTGGTGGATGTAACAGTGATTGTGTTGATGTGTATAAGTTGTAATATGAATCTGGAAGTGACTTGAAATTGGAAAAAAAGGCTTGAATGACAAAATAAAAAAATGACAAACCATTGTGTTATACATTTCCCTTTTCCACTATCTTAAAAGAAAGGATTGACCTTGTAAATGATTCAGGAAAATGTGTAGACATCATACCTTTTTATTTCCTCTCACTCATTTGCCATAGTCAAATTCCATAACGTGCCAGCTACGTGATACCAATTTCAAGTGTACGCACAAACATAAGTTTTTGAATTTTTTTTTTCTCAGTTATTGTTATTACCTTGATAATAGAAGATATGAGCTAGGCATCATGTATGACAGTTGCTAAAGTGAGATATATGAGCTATATAGGAGACATATCTTGTATAGGGCTTATATGTGGATATAAAGAAGCAATACAGTATATCTATATGGCCTGTATATGCACCTCAGTTTTGCCTATATGTGGCATATATACACATACATACAGCATATGTGTATATTAACATATATGTGCATATATACTGCATATAGGTTTTATATATGCGCATATATCGGACGGGCCCACTACGCCACTGCATATATTCTCATAAAGGTTCTTTCAACGTGGGTTTGAGTGTATTACATTCAGAAATGTTGTTTATGTTCACACAGCTACATCACACAAAAACTAAAGTTTAAATTATGATATCTGTCATAGCCCTTCCTTGTCTGTCCTTTCAGTGGTGTCTACGTTTATGCGTCTATGTTTGTGTTGTGTTTAAACACATGCCTAAGCCTTTGTTTGTGTCCACCATGTGCTGCTCCGTTCCTCCCTCTTTCTTTCCTACTGCCACACCCCCTTGTTTAACCCTCGTCTAGTCCTCATTAGTCTCAGTGTTTACACCTGGTCCTCATGTTCTTTCCTCCCTTTATAATGTGCTCTCTTCCCTCATGCCTTCGTCAGTTTATTGTTGCTTCTTGTTTCATGTTGTTGCCATTCTGTGCTTGTTTATCTGTGCTGTTGTTTGTGAGAGAGTTGTCTTTGTCTAACGTTTGTTTTGGTTTTTTTCAGTTGGCCTTCAGTATCATCCCCATCTGGGGCCTGTTTCAGTAAGGAGGTTCAAACAACTCGGAGTTTAAACTTGAACTCTGAGTTGATTTACCGAGAGATTAAAAACTCAGAGTTTTCGGTTTCAGAACAGCTGATCTGAGTTGGGTCAATCAACTTTGAGTAGACCAACTCAGAGTTAAGCGCGCACACTGTGACTATAAAAAGGCATTATCTATGGAGCGCAGATATTACGAGCCACCATGGAAAGATCTGAAAAAAAGAGATCAGCATTTTTTTCTCCAGTGGAACTTGATGTGCTCATGCAAGCCTATGGCAAATATGAGCATATATTTAAAAAAAAAAAAAAAGCAACACCACTGCATCGGCGAAACGGAGACAGTTAGCGTGGGAAAACATAGCTGCTCAAGTTAATGCGTAAGTTTACATTTAAAATATTTAAAGTATTTGATTATTTTAGCATTTTAAGTACATTGAAGTTTTATTTGAAAATGAAGGTAATTTTGCAGCTATTTATTTGATGCAGATGTTATTGCATTACATTACATTAAATAGGCTACTGCATAGTTTCTACAACAATTTTTTTACAAAACAAGAATGCATAAGCCTATAACTTTAACTCACTGTTCAGTACAATTTTTTTATTTAATGTTCCGACTTTTACACGCGTTGACCAGTTTAAGATAAACTTTTTAAAATTGACATTTAAAAGTGTGTGTCTGTCTTTTTTTATGAATCGAGAGATAAAGGTTGATATGACATTTAGAATGTAAGCAGTATTAAAAAATAGTTTTTAGAACGAGTAATAATCTCATTAATGTAGTTGCAGCACATGTCCCTGTCAAAGGTCAGTTTATTTAAGCTAATTATATATTATCATTTTTTTATTTTTATTTTTGCTATAATATGAAAGGTAAAAATTAAAACTATGGTATTAAATCAATTGTACAATTGTGTACAATTAAATCAATTGTAATTTTCATGTAGGTGCAATCCTGCAGGCATTAAAAGAACATGGCAGCAGCTGAAAATGAAATGTAAAAACAATTCAATCAGGTAAGGTTTGATAATGTCATAATTTTTTTTTTAACAAATGAAATTTATCATGTAAATGCCAATAAATGTGTAATGGTATTTATGCAGTGCTTTTTTTTTATTTTTATTTTTTATTGGACGTCTCCTTAGCCAACAGAAAGAAGGCAGAGGCTCGCAAGACAGGAGGAGGCCCTGCACCACCACCCCTTACTAATGCTGAGGAGATGGCCCTGAGTCAGAACACTGGAAGGCCAGTGGCTGAGGGAATACCTACAGGGTGTTCTTCAGAGCCCCTTACTCCCCAGGACACAAGTGCCTACATACAATGTAAGAGGGCTACACACACACACAGATATAAATATATATATATATATATATATATTAATTTACTTTCATTTTTGCATTGATCTCTATAGATTGTGATGGCAATATCTGCCTTTTGGAGCCTACTTTCTTAACAAATCCCCAGGCAGTTGTAAGTATCCTAATTTCTGTGGTATGNAGTAGGCTAAGTAATAGTATAAAGTGTGCTCAACCAAATGCTCATTTGCTCAGGATGAAGTGGATGATGACACCATTTCTTCTCATACAGAGAGGCCTATAGAGGTAATGTTATGTCTGTAGGCATCAAACAATCTTTACAATCAACTCCTCACATTTTTGTGTTCAGTAAGCTATGTAAGTATCTTTAAGTATAAACATATTCTTGTCTTCCCCATCACCACCTTCCAGAGTGAGGAACAACAGGAAGAGGAGGAGGAGGGTCCATCTACTTCTTCTGCGCACATGAACACAGTTCAGTGATGTACAGTAAATGCCAGAGTTTAATTCAATGGAAGTCATGTACAACATAACGTAACCCTAAACTACTGTGTTTTCAGTTACCAGTAAAGCAGTTATATAGGCTGCATCTGCTAAAACAAAGTGAAAAAACTAATAAAGAAATTATATACTTGGATCGGCAGATCCTAAAGAGCGATTTGGAAATCGAGATCCTGAAACACAAGCTACAGGTAAGGTATATATTGTTTTTTTAGTGGATTATGGAAAAAGTTTGAAAAGAATACAGAAATTTAACAGTTGCTTTTTAATTTGTAGGAAATAAAGAAGACTAAATAAATTGTTGTGACTTGTTGATTTATTTTTTTATTTTTGTGGTGGCTGATTTAATCAGAGAATGAATTGTGACATATAAGGTCTCGGACCACCCTTCCATCCTGGAAATCTGCAGGGTGGATGGGGTCTTCCTCTGGAGCTTGAATGTGTAGGGCAGGATGTGGTTCCCCTCTAAAAATGGCAATATTATGGAGAACTACACATGCCACAATAATGTCGCAGGCCCTCTCAGGGGTGACCCTGAGGTGACGTAGGCACTGGAAATGTGCTTTCAACAGGCCTATAGTCATTTCCACCCTGCCTCTAGTTTTGCAGTGTGCCACATTGAAGCGCTGCTGTGGCCCTTGCTCAGGTTCTGGGTAAGGGGTTAGCAGTGTAGGCTGGCATGGGTAACCCCTATCCCCCAGCAGAAAGCCATCAATCTCCCCTGTAAAAAAAAAAAAAAGACACATTGGTTTAGTGCTGCATTAAAATGCCCAAGTGTGTAGTACATACATTAACTTACCACTTTGCAGTCTGTTGCTTAGGGTACACACACGATATATCCGTGAGTCATGAACAGAGCCAGGCCACTTGGCTTCAACATTAGTGATAATATGTGCAGCATCACATATAATCTTCACAGTGGAAAGAATAAGATATGAGGTATAGTATTGTTTTGAGATATAGTATGTGTGTTGTTTAAACTATTTAAACTGCATAACTCAACGTACCTGCACATTAATACTGTGGATTGACTTCCTGTTAACATAGTCTGACTCATTTTCAGTTGGTGCAATGATAGGTATATGTGAGCCGTCAATGCATCCAACCACATTGGGGAATCCTAAAGGTAATTTTAAATATTACAATACTTTCATAGGTCACAGCAAAATGTTATTAACTATATATATATATTAAATATATATATATATATATATATATATA